ATTTAATCAGATGATATTCCAATTCTCTGTACAATGTCATATCAGTGTCTACACCCTTGACACATATTCATATATTTTAATGCTATGTTTTGATGTATGGACTGTCATAGCATGGTCAAGTGGCTTCAGAAAACAAAATTCCATTACAGTGCCTAACATTAAGAAAATTGGGGGTTATGAAGTGAGATGCTACCCTTCTGTGGAAATATCAAGTGGTCAAGAAACGTATTTATATATTATTTATTTAAAGCATTTATATTCCACCCTTCTCACCCCGAAGGGGACTTGGGACAGATCACAACATATAAACAGCAAACATTCAATGCCAAAACATACCAGACCATACACATACAAAAGCATTAAAATCACTTACCTTGACGTTAAAATCCTCTTGTTAAAACTGTCACAACAACCATATTGAATTCGGTTGGCATACTAAGCATTCCTATCGCTGCCTCATTGCACAGTCCCAAAGGCTCGGTCCCACAGCCACGTTTTAATCATCCTTCTAAAGGACAAGAGGGAGGGGGCTGACCTGATCTAATTAGGAAGGGAGTTCCATAGCCAAGGGGCAATTACTGAGAAGGCCCTGCCTCTTGTCCCCGCCAAACGTGCCTGTGATGGTAACGGGACCGAGAGCAGGGCCTTCCCAGAAGATCTTAATCTCCACGGTGGTTCATGGGGGAGATGCGTTCGGACAGGTAAATTGGGCCGGGGACATTTAGGGCTTTACAGGTCAAAGCCAGCACTTTGAATTGTGCCCGGTAGCAAACTGGCAGCCTGTAGAGCTGGTGTAACATGGGAGTTGTGTGTTCCCTGTACGCTGCTCCAGTTATTAACCTGGCTGCCTCTCGCTGGACTATTTGAAGCTTCCGAGCAGTCTTCAAAGGCAACCCCATGTAGAGGGCATTGCAGTAATCTTACACCTTTATTTTAAAAAAACTCTTAATAATGAAGTATACACTATCATAATCACAACCATTCAGCTCAACTTGTTTTTTTCAGTGTTTCGTACATGTGGCAAGAAATGTGTAAACCACTATTAAACTTTATGGGTTTTCATAGTGTGGTCGTATTTCAGTTCAGGAAATTATAATCTATTTGGATTTTCATTATGTACATACCACTGTTTATTTCACTCTAAGTCGGTTAGAGAACTTTAAAAAGCCATGTCACGATTCTTATTTTTTGTATCCTGATTTTGGTTTCCATGGTGTTTTGATTTAGGGGTTTTATGCTCCTTTTATTTTGGTTATTCCATTATACTCACATCACTACATCTATTCTTCATGTACTTAAAAAAATCCAGGTCTGGCTTCCTTTTTTCCATGCAATTTTTTTTTGGCCATCTTGACTCTTCACATAGCCTATTAATTTCTGGTTCTTTGTAAGGTAGAAAGGCAGTGTTTTCGCTAATGGATTGAAAACATGGAGTTCAATCATCAGGGGTTTAATTGGACTCAGAGATCAAGAAAACCAAACCCAGAAGCTAGTTTTCGGAAGAAAGTGGGAGTTTGATCCCTTAAAATCAGCCACAGTGGAACAATGGGTTAAACCCTTGTGCTGCTGAACTGCTGACCTGAATGTTGGCCGTTCAAATCTGCGAGATAGGGTTAGCTCCCGTCCGTCAGCTCCAGTTCCTGCCAACCTAGCAGTTCGAAAACATGCAAATGTGAGTAGATATATAGGTACTGCTTCAGCAGGAAAAGACAGAGATGTTCCAAGTAATATTGCCGGCCACACAATCAAAAGGCGATTGCAGGCTCCCTGGCTTGAAAATGGAGAAAGCACCTCCCCAGAGCCAGAAACGAGTACTGGCTGCTACTACCCGACAGATATCAGGTGGTCAAAACTGGCTAAACAGTATAATTTCTCCAGCGGAGTAGGGCATAGACATCCTGTGATAATGCAGAATGTTTCATTAAGAGATGGGCCGGAGATGTCCATGCCTTGATCCTTTCATTACTGACTGCTTCCTAACTGTATTGTCGAAGGCTTTCATGGTCAGAATCGCTGGGTTGTTGTAGGTTTTTTCGGGCTATATGGCCATGGTCTGGAGGCATTCTCTCCTGACGTTTCACTTGCATCTATGGCAAGCATCCTCAGAGGTAGTGAAATCTGTTGGAACTAGGAAAAAGGGTTTATATATCTGTGGAATGACCAAGATGGGACAAAGGACTCTTGTCTGCTGGAGCTAGGTGTGAATGTTTCAACTGACCACCTTGATTAGCATATAATTGCCTGACAGTGCCTAGAGCAAACTTTTGTTGAGAGGTGATTAGATGTCCTTGTTTGTTTCCTCTCTGTTGTTGTGCTGTTGTAATTTTAGAGTGTTTTTTAATACTGGTAGCCAGATTTTGTTCATTTTCATGGTTTCCTCCTTTCTGTTGAAACTGTCCACATGCTTGTGTATTTCAATGGCTTCTCTGTGTAGTCTGACATGGTGGTTGTGAACATGAAAGGCACTGCAGACTACTTCACCCAGAGAAATCAGCCATAGCAAAGCACCTGATGAACCAACCTGGACACAGCATTTTATTTGAGAACACAAAAATGCTGGACCACTCTCACATGTCCACCATGTCAGACTACACAGAGAAGCCACTGATATCCATATGCATGTGGACAATTTCAACAGAAAGGAGAAAACCATGAAAATGAACAAAATCTGGCTACCAGTATTAAAAAAAACTTTAAAATTACAACAGAACAACAACAGAGAGGAAACAAACAAGGACATCTAATTACCTCTCAACAAAAGTTTGTTCTAGGCAATGTCAGGCCATTATATGCTAATCAAGGTGGTCAGTTGAAACATTCACACCTAGCTCCAGCAGACAAGAGTCCTTTGTCCCACCCTGGTTTTTCCACAGATATATAAACCCTTTTTCCTAGTTCCAACAAACCTCACTACCTCTGAGGATGCTTGCCATAAATGCAGGAGAAACGTCAGGAGAGAATGCCTCTAGACCATGGCCATGTAGCCCGAAAAAACCTACAACAACCCAGTGCTTCCTAACTGGTATCTTTTGATAATTGTGGCATGTCTCATTATGGGAAACAAACTATTTTAATGTGGTGAGATGTATTCTACACTGAGCATGCACATTCAGCAGCAGAGTAGCAAATTATTTATTTTTATCCTGCTTTTCTCCTATGGGTGGGAGTTAAAGTGGCGAACTCTCCCCAGCAAAGCGCAAGGGCAGATGTCTTCACTGGGTGTGATTGATCCACAGGTTCTGTCAGTCAACTTTTGTATGATGTTATTTCTAGCACCCACTTTTTGGTTGATAATCAGGCAGTGCTTCTTCTAAGTCAGAGCACGGTCCAGAGTAACTCCCAGGTATTTTGGTGTATGCAGTATGTGATACAAGTACAAGTCAGGACTTTGAAGGCTCCTTCTACACTTCCATATGAAATCCAGATTATCAGCTTTGAACTGGATTATTTGGCGGTGTAGACTCATATAATCCAGTTCAAAGCAGATGAAGTGGACTATCTGCTGTGAATGAAAGAATTGTTTATTGATATCAAATAACACACAACCTTTAAAAGTACAATAAGCACTTTCCAATATAAACATCAGAACTTATTCCATATACTGTCTCTTTAAAATTATAGTAGTAGTGACATGCTAACAATAACAATAGCAAATGTCTGATTTGTATCACCCCAAACTATCTCCATTTCCAGCCTTTGCTGTGGACTTTACTAATTTAGGATTATCTACTTTGATAATATGGCAGTGTAAAAGGGGCCCTTTATGCTTGATTATATGGCCGTTATAAGGGCCCTAAATTATTTATTTATATCCCGCTTTATCTCTTCATATGTAAACTCAAAGAGGCTCACAATCAAAAACATTACAACTAAAAATATACAACAACAAAACAGTTAAACCACTGAGCTGCTGAACTTGTTGAACGAAAGGTCGCAGGTTAGAAATCGGGGAGCGGCATGAGCTCCTGTTAGCCCCAGCTTCTGCCAAACTAGCAGATGCCTTTCTAGTCTTCCCAGGCATCTCTAGTTATCCCTAGTCTGGCACCCCTTGGCCTACTTTGGAATGTGAGATCAATAGGTACCGCTCTAGCGGGAAGGTAATGGCGCTCCATGCAGTCATGCTGGCCACATGACCTAGGAGGAGTCTAAGGACAACGCCGGCTCTTCTTCTTAGAAATGGAGATGAGCACCAACCCCCAGCGTTGGACACGACTGAACTTAATGTCAGGGGAAAACCTTTACCTTTACCGAAAACAGTATATCATTATATAACATTATATATTATCAGTAGTAATTAGATGTAATATATTAGTATCACTATATGACATTATTATATTGTATTACATCATAACATTATAATCAATATACAACAATAAAACAGTAGATCATTCTATATCATTATATTATCAGCAGTAATTAGATTACTTTAAAAGTAATCTAATAATTATAAATATTATTATATCGTATTACATCATAACATTATTATCAATATACAACAATAAAACAGTAGATCATTCTATATCATTATATTATCAGTAGTAATTAGATTTAATATATTAATATTACTATATTATATTGTATTGCATCATAGTATTATCAATATAATATGCATATACATTATTAGCACAGAATATTAGTATTAGATAGGACTATATATTATACTATACCACTACACTACAATATTAATAATAATATTACATGAAATATATAATATACAATGTGGTTTGCAACCCAGAGTAGAATTAATTTAGTTTGTTAGCGCTTTAACTGCAATGGCTCAATTCCATTGGTGGAGATCAGGCTTGGGCCAAGTTGGGCCCTCCAAGGGTTTTGGACTCCAACTCCCACAATTCCTAACAGCCTACCGGCTGTTAGGAATTGTGGGAGTTGGAGTCCAAACCCCCTGGAGGGCCCAACTTGGCCCAGGCCTGGTGTAGCTCAAACCCCTCCCGCCTCCGCTTCAATTCCAGGCCGGGAGGGGAAAGGAAGGGAAGGCCGGGAGGAGGGAAGGAGAGCGGCCTTCCTGGCTGCCTGAACCCTGCCCTCCGCCCCCTGCCTGCCCCGGGAAAGAGGCGGCGCCGCCGTCGTCCTCCCTTCGCCGGCCGAGGGAGAGGGAAGGAGGCGGAAGGGGCGGAGGCGGCGCTGCTGCTCCCCAAGAAACAAGGCCCAAGCCCCGCTGCCTCCAGGCTCCGCCCGCCGCCGCCGCCAAGGAGGAGGAGGAAGAGGAGGAGGAGGCCTCGCTCGCTCGCCTCAGCGGCTTCCCCCCTCGGCCCTGGAGAGGTTCACCTCATTTTCGGCAGGCTCCACAGCCTCCCCTGCCACTCGGGAACTTCTCCTCTGCCAGGGGAGGTGTGAGGGGGAAGCTGCGCCTTTTTAGTGGGAAGGAGGGCCTTCCTCAGCGTCCCCAGCCTCCCTCACCTGGCAGCCCAGATTCCTGGGCAGCCCTTCGCCATCCCTGGCCTTCCTAGTCTTCCCAGGCATCTCTAGTCATCCCTTGCCTGGCACCCTTTGGCCTACTTTGGCATCTCTTGCCTTCCTAGACAGCCCCATACCAAGCCTCCCTGGGCATCCCTAGCATTTTTAGCTATCCTTAGCAACCCTAGCTTGGCAGCTTGAGTTTTTCTAAGAGTCCCCTAGGCATCCTTAACCTGGCACCCCATCGCCTTCCTAGGCATCCCCAGCCTTCCTAGGCATTTAGCCTTCCTTGGCATTCCCAAGCTTGCCACCCCTAGCCTGGCACCCCATAGCCTTCCTAGGCACCCCCAGCCTCCTACATTTAGCCTTCCTAGGCATCTCCTAATTCGCCACCCATAGCCTGGCACCCCATAACCTTCCAAGGCAACCCCTAACTTGCCATCCTTAACCCGCCACCTCATAGTCTTCCTAGGCAATCCCAGCCTTCTACACTTAGCCTTCCTTGGCATCTCCTAACTTGCCATCCCTAGCCTTGCACCCCATAGCCTTCCTAGGCATCCTATAATTTGCCATCCCTAGCCTGGCAGCCTATAACTTTTCTAGACACCCTATAACTTACCATCCCTTACCATCCCTTTTCTAGACACCCTATAACTTACCAGCCTTGCAACCCATAGCCTTCCTAGGCACCATATAAATTGCCATCATTAACCTGGCACCTCATAGCTTTCCCAGACAGCCCGAGATTCCTACATTTAGCCTCCCTTAGCATTCCCTAACTTGCCATCCCTAGCCTGGGACCCCATCACCTTCCCAAACAGCCCAGCTTTCTACATTTAGCCTTCCTAGGCATCCCCTAACTTGCCATCCTTAGCCTGGCACCTCATACTCTTCCTAGGCATCCCCAGCCTTCTACATTTAGCCTCCCTTAGCATCCCCTAACTTCCCATCCCTAGCCTGGCACCCCATAGCCTTCCTAGGCATCCACAGCCTTCTACACTTGGCCTTCCTAGGTATCTCCTATCTTGCTATCCCTGACTTTCTTAGGCATTTTTAGCCGGCATCCCTAGCCATTCTAGGCATCCCGGGCCTGGCAGCTTGAGCCTTCCTAAGCATCCTAGCCTGGCCTCTCTTATCCTTGTATCCTCTGGCTTCCTAGGCATCTCTAAGTTGGCATTCCTAGCCTTCCTAAACATGCCTAGCTTGGTACCCTTAGCCTTCCTTGGCTTTCCTAGGCATCTCTAGTCTGGTATCTCTAGGCTTCCTTGGCATCCCTGTCTTCTTTCCATTCCTAAACTCCATTGTTATATCTGTCCTGGCATTCCAGGCCTGGCATCCTTATCCTCTTTATGCATTCCTAGTCTGGCATCCCTAGCCAGCGTCCCTACCCTTCCTAGGTCCTGTCATCCCCTATCCATAGGTATTCCTTGGCATCCCTATCCTGGCTTCTCTATCCTTCTTACACATTCCTGTCCTGGCATCCCTAGGTGTTTTAGCTTTTTTATAAAAGACTAGGGATGCAGGTGGGAAAGAAGGATGGGATGTGCAGACCCAACCAGAGAGCTGGGGTAAAAATAAATTCCTTTAGTAGAGGTGTGCTATAGAATTGCAGGGCAGGAATGAAAAGCTGCTGTGAAAGGATTTTGTAGGAAAAATCAGTCTAGGTTAAGAAGCACCTGTAAGAAACACCTGCTGTAAGAAACACCCTGGCCAAGAAGCAGGTTGAGACCTTCACATGTATTTGTATCGAGGATTTGTCAGGCTTAGGTGAACCTGCCTACTTTTAAGTGTCCCTTTCTTGCTTTGCGAGCCCCAACATCAAAAGATGTTGGCAGAACAGACTCAGAAGTGGTTCCCAACTCACGTGCAGGTCACTGTCCTTCAGGCCAGAGATCTGAAGCCAAAGGGCAAAAGTGGCACCAATGATGCCTATACTATCATCCAGTTGGGAAAGGAAAAGTACTCCACCTCGGTGGCTGAGAAGACCCTGGATCCGGTATGGAAAGAAGAGGCCTCCTTTGAGCTGCCTGGATTGCTGATGGAAGGCAATACTGAGAAATACATCCTCTGCCTGATTGTCATGCACAGGTCTCTTGTCGGGCTTGACAAATTTCTGGGGCAAGTGGCAATAAACTTGAATGAAATCTTTGAGGACAAGCTTAGAAGGAAAACAGAGTAAGTTTTATTTTGTACATATCACATGTAAAAACTTACAGAAAAGATTACTTTTACATTTCTACAAGTAGGCAGAATACTTGTTCTCCCAAACTGGTAACCTCTACAAAATTAAAAAGTGCATGCATACACTTTGTTTGGTGCTTATCTGTGGACGTGGAGTTGGGTTTTTGGAAGCAAATGCATAAAGTCATAGGTCTTTGTTGATATGTGGCCATAATGCAATTGTTACTTGCAAATGTTAGGCAGGGGGCCACAAAGAACTATGAACCTTTGATGCATAGCCTTTTTTCATCTCCTGTTTTTCCATGTAACACCTTACCATGTGTGAGTGATCACATGCATCAGTATTCTCTTAAGTCTATTCATTGCATAACATTACAGTAAATGGAACTCATTCCAATACAGGAAATGGATTCTGTTAATTTTATCAGATGAGCTATTGAGTCCTATTTTAAGGAGAAGGGCATAAATTATAAATTCAGTAAGTCAACACATAAATGATATGAAATCATAAAGCACTTAATAATAATAATGTATAATCATAATAATAATGTAGTTGTGGTGGTGCTATGCGTCAAACCAAGTGCCGACTGAACTGCTGTACTGAACACATCCTTGAGACGGGGTGAGCTCCCTTCTGTCAGCCCCAACTTCCCATGCAGGGACATGAGAGAAGTCTCCCACCAGATGGTAAAACATCTGGGCGTCCCTGGGCAGCATGCTTGCAGACGGCCAATCCTCTCACACCAGAAATGACTTGCAGTTTCTCAAGTCATTTCTGACACACAAAAAATCACAGTCAGACTTTTTATTTATTACCTACCTCTCCTTATAGCTCGAGGAGGGGCATAACCCAGTTAAAATGCATCATCATTAAAAAGTACATATAATAAAGACATCTATTAAAATATTTCTATATAATACACATTTTAAAATACATGGGTGTGTGGTACTTGGGAATGTGGTAACCATTTGCGAATCCAACATAGTTATTATTGGTAGGATTATAACATCTTGGAATATCTGGGTTTTTTTAGGTAGTTGTGAGTCTCGCATTGTAATGTCCAAGCAGTGTTCAAAAATATAGTACTATTAATTTTTTAAAGGTTCATGCATGTTAAAAACGGATAGACCTGTTCATCATTGCTATCAGCAGCATCCTCATTCTGACTTTCAACATCCTCATTCTTGCTTTCAGCATGATAAACTTCTTCATGGATCATTGGCTTCCACTTTTGCGGGTTTCACTTGCAGATTTGATTGTTTGCAGATTTAATTAGTATTTTTTTCTCTAGGAATCTTTAGGTCTTCCAAAATTACTTTGTGGTCAACTTTTGTCCTGGAGCTATACTGGAGGATGTAGAGATTCCTCAAGAAAACAGTTCTCTAAATATTGGTAGGTCCTCCAAAATGCTTCTGTGGTCAGCTTCTGCCAGAAGTTGATCACAAGAGTTGCACTGGACACTCTAGGAACGCCTAGAGAGGTGTTCTCTCAGGTAAAAATGTAGTTTTATGCATGGTTTTTCCATTTTTATGGAGGTCCACAGCAAATCTGTAGGGCTGACTGTATTTTATTTACAAAGCAGAGAAGTGTATCTAAATTAAGTTGTTGTTTTTTAAAACTGCATTCCTAAATATACTTTTTTAGATGTAAGCCCCTTCGGAATCCAGTGACATTTATCTCAGTAGATGTATTTAGGGCTGTAATGTCCTTTGACATTCTACAACAGGGGTCCCAAACTAAGGCCCGGGGGCCGGATACAGCCCCCCAAGGTCATTTACCCGGCCCTCGCTCAGGGTCAACCTAAGTCTGAAATGACTTGAAAGCACACAACAACAACAACAACAACAATCTCATCAGCCAAAAACAGGCCCACACTTCCCATTGAAATATTGATAAATTTATGTTTGTTAAAATTGTTCTTCATTTTAATTATTGTGTTGTTTTAAAGTGTTTTTGCACTACAAATAAGATATGTGCAGTGTGCATAGAAATTCATTCATTATTTTTTTCAAATTACAATCCAGCCCTCCAACAGTTTGAGGGACCTGGCCCTCTGTTTAATAAGTTTGAGGACCCCTGTTCTACATTCCGCCCTCTACATTTGGGGAGGGGGGTTGGTTATTTGCAGATTTAATTATTTGCGGATTTAGTACAGTCTCTCTTGGAATCTTTTGATTCTCCGTTGTGACTATGGACAACTTCCAACAAAAGTTGACTATAGACCTATATAGGGGATCTTGACACTCCTAGAGAGGTTTTCTCTCAGGTTAAAAGACTGTTTTTTATTAATCACTAGCTTGAGTACCCGGCATTGCCCAGGTTATTTGAAAAAGTGTGTTTTTTAAAAAATTTACAAAATGCATAAGGTGTGGGTGAACTACAACTCACATCGTGCCAGGTTAACCACCTGAAACTCCATCAGTAGTTAAAGATTGTTATGTTGTGCAAGTTTGCTCTAGATGCACCATCGGTGGGTTCAGTGTGCTCTCTGGCTGCAGGGTAAAATACAGCTCCCATCATGGTGAGTCAGTCCCCTCAACCCCTCCCCCCCAATGGAAGTTCAAGTGTGCCAAGTTTGGTCCAGGTCCATCATTGGTGGAGGTCACACTTTCTCTGGATGTGCGTGAACTACAACTCCCAGAAAGGAACATCTGTTTCCCCCAAACCCCTCCAGTAATCAAATTTTGGCATATCAGGTATGCTTGCCAAGTTTGGTCCAGATCCATCATTGTTTGGGTTCATAGTACTCTCTGGATGTAGGTGAACTAGGTGAATTTTCCCCAAAAACCTTCAGTATTTTTTGCTGGTCATGGGGGTTCTGTGAGCTAAGTGAGATCCAGGGCCATTGTTGGTGGGGCCAGAGTGCTCTTTGATTGCTGGTGAACTATAAATCCCAGTTCTTACAACTCCAAAATGTCCAGGCCAATTCCCCTCAAAACCCACCACTATTCAAATGTGGGCATATCAGGTATGTATGTCAAGATTGGTCCAGATCTATCATTGTTTGGGTTCATAGTATGGATGTAGGTGACCTACAACTCCAGTATTTTTTGTTGGCCATGGGGGTTCTATGTACTAAGTGAGTTCTAGGTCCATCATTGACGGGATTCAGAATGCTCTTAGATTGCAGGTGAACTATAAATCCCAGTACCCACAATTCCTATAACTCATGGTGAATTCTCCCCAAACCTCTCCAGTATGTTCAGTTGCTGATAAATGCTTCTATTTGTTGTGTGGCATAGAGAAGAATAGGAAAGGTTTTATGCAAGAGCAGAATAGGGCGGGGTCATCCAAATTCCATAGCAATGTATAGAGTAAGGAACAGTGAGATGTCTGTGGTGGAGGAAAAATAGAAAATCTAGGATGAAATTTATTCCTATGAAAGCCTTCACTTGGGTGGTGGGCAGTATGGTGTTTGTGGAGGACATTAGCAGGGCTCTTGGCCATGTTCATGACGCTCTCTATAACCTGCAATGTCATTAGAGCAGTGGTTCTCATCCTGGGCCCCCCAAATGTTTTTGGCCTACAACTCCCAGAAATCCCAGCCAATTTACCAGCGGTTAGGATTTCTGGGAGTTGAAGGCCAAAAACATCTGGGGATCCCAGGTTGAGAACCACTGCATTAGAGGGAGGGCCTTTGGTGTTTCCTGAGCGCTGGGAGTTATAGCTGTTTGTGGAGGCAGATACATACATTTTCACTTTTATTTTGTATACAGATTTTTGCATTTCTGTGGGGCTCCTGCACAAACTTAGGTATGACTCCTAGTTACAAGCATGGGAGAGGGGTAAAAATAAATAATATGCTAAGACAAACATCTGTTCAAGTTGCATTTAATTTTTTTGTTCTTTTTTTTGTTAGTATGGTGTGGGACTTTTACCGATGTATTCTCATTGGAAAGATTTAATCTCACTTCCTGTTCCTGAGACAATAGGAAGTGAGAAAAATCTACCCCTAGGATGGGAAATTCACTCCTGTTAGAAAAAGCTGTCTCCACTGAAGCTTTATCACTAATCCTTGTTTCTACGACAACCCAAAATGTTCAAAATCCAAAGATCATCAAGAAACCTACAGAATTTGACTTGCTTCTAGCCTGGCGATTGCCTGGAGAAGAGTTCATATCATGTCTAAGCTATATATATTTGTGGCTAACAGCTTACTTTGCTTTTGAATTTAGTACCAGGCTGAAGGAACCCCAGTCTTGCAACCTTTGCATGTTTACTTACTTATAGGCTCATTGGGACTTACTCTCAATGGAATTTGCTCTCAGATACATGCATATTGGATTTCTGCCTAAACATGTAAACTGTCTGATTCAGGCATAAGGCTTTTTCATATATGTGTATGGTACAGTGAAGGTGAAGTGTTACTAATAGGCCCAAGGGAATAAAATGCATCTCATTGGAAGTAGCACATCTGCCAAATAGAGGCTGTATTTGCTAAGTTACAACATTTTGTTGTTGGGAAACGTACTTTCTGTACCTAGTATATTCATGACTGCACAAGAGTAATAGAAACATCTCTTTCCTAGTAATTTGACATTGCTTGAGTCCTTTGGCAACAATCTATACTTTTGTTTCTGCCAGTAATATGTGCATAGGGTTGAAAACTTGTAACATATATTTTAAAATAACTTTTGAGGTGTCAGAACTCTTTGCTGTGCCACTCCAGCCATTTCAATGCTTTTGTTTAATATTCTTCTTTCTCACCCCATCCTAATGAACACCAACAAAATTTGTTAACCTCCTCCTTTGTGTGTTGTGTCTATCCACTTTGTAATGGTTCTCCCCTTTTAAAAAAGTTTTAATTCTTAACTTTAGCTCCCCCTCTTCCATGCTGTAACATTCAGTAATAAAATAGGCATAAAGGAGAAAGAAGGGAAAATGAAAAATTGGCCAACTATTTTGAGCAAAGCTACTAGTGTCACAGTTATATTGGTTAAGATGCTAATTATGTGCAGATGATGAAATTTACAGACAGTGGGTATTGGCAAAGGCTTTCATGGCTGGAATCACTGGATGCTGTGAGTTTTCCAGGATGTAGGGCCATGTTCCAGAAGCATTTTCTCCTGACATTTCACCCACATCTATGGCAGGCATCCTCAGAGCTTGTGAGGTCAATTGGAAACTAGACAAGTGATGTTTGTATATCTGTGGAATGTCCAGTGTGGAAAAAAGGACTCTTGTCTGCTTGAGGCAAGTGTGAATGTTTCAATTGTCCACCATGATTAACACTTAATGGCCTTGTAGCTTCAAAGCCTGGCTGGTTGTTACCTGGGGCGATTCTTTGTTGGGAGGTTTTAACTAGTCCTCATTTATTCTTGTCTGAATCAATCAGAGAAGCCATTGAAATCCACAAGCATGTGGACAATTTAAAAAGAAAGGAGGAAACCATGAAAATGAACAAAAGCTGGCTACCAGTATTTTTTTTTTAAAAAAACCCCTCTAAAATCAAGACAGTAAATAAAGAACAACACTAAAAAAACAGGGGAACCAATTAGGGCCAGCTAAACCTCCTACCAAAGGATCCCCCCAAGCAGCAACCAGCCAGGCTTTGAAGCTACAACGAACATGGCCATACAGCCCAGAAAACTCACAGCAACCCAGTGGGAATTGGGATTGTATTGGCCTTTCCAACATCATCTGCTATTTTTACATTAGATTTCACATTTGCATGTAGGCCTGCATATATAGAGCCCATAATTTGTAGGATCCAAACTGCTTAGTTTGTAGTGTACATATTGTTAGGTACTTTGTGCATGCAAGCGTTCAGTGGAAATGTGGAATCCAGTGTGCTGGATAAGGGCTGTATCATCCTGATTCCCATGCAATATGTAGTAATGTTAGCAAAGACCTTCTCTTTTACTATCGCAGGGTCCCTTCCTGGTTGCTGCCTGGAAGGCTCCATACCTAACTCTTGAAGTGTAAAAGAGCCTATGGATCTGGATGCCCATTGCATTCTTACGTTCTTTTACTGTGACTATACCATATGTAATAGTCTCCACTGTGTGCAGAATTATTTTATAAATTTTATAGAGAAAAAATATAACATTTCTATTGCCATATATTTATTATTATTTATTTGTTTGCAACATTTATATGTCACCCTTCTCACCCCGAAGGGAACTCAGAGCAGCTTACAAGTTATATGTACATACAATATATTGTATTATTAGCATAGCACAATAGTGGTATTATATATTACTATATTGTACTGTATCACTATACTGCAATATTATTAGTAATATTATATGTAATATAAAATATATAATTATTATATTGTATTATTACTAGCATTATATTGTATTACACTATTATGATCAATATTATATGTACATACAATATATTATTAGTATAGCACAATAAAAGTATTATATATAACTATATTGTACTATACCACCATACTACGATATTATTAGTAACATTACATGTAATATATAATATACACTTATTATATCATAGTATTATTAGTAATATTATATTGTATTGCAATATTATGATCAATATTATATGTACATACAATATATTATAATTATTAGCATAGCACAATATTAGTATTATTTATAACCATATTGTACTATACCACTATACTGCAATATTATTAGTAATATTACATATAATATATAATATACACTTATTATATCGTATTATTATTAATATTACTATATTTTATTACACTAATAGTATTATACTGTATTACATTAATATAATAATTACTCATAGTATATTACATTAATTACATATATCCTTGGTACTAGAAATAAAGGATGGAACATTGGGTGAAACTTCATTATTGTGCTAATTCTGGTATAAGTTTGACAAGACATCTGAGAGACAAGTAATATATTGATTTTTCAGGTACGTCTCCCATATGATTATACTACATATGGCATTTCTGAACAAACACAACAGGTTTGAAAATGTGCAGCCCAACATCTCCCTTCTTTAAATGGAAATTAGGAATCCATTATGGTGCAAAGTTATGAACCCACAATTTAAAACAAAACTTGATACCTTACAATATAATTTTGATTTCTTTCAAAGCTGCTAATAAATACGTATATTTTTTTATTAAACAGTGTTTTCTTGCTTTCAAATGCATTTAGCAGACCTGAAGTATTGTATCCAAAGTGACTTTCTAACATTGATATAACCTTAACGTTGCTTAGCTTGGGGATAAATGAGATCCAAGTATTTGATGAAGTGTCTTTATTGGTAATATTTCTACTTTTTAATATATTTAATAGCTTCCTCCTTCCAACACAGCTGTACATATGGTTCTCTAAGAGACGGACTTCAGAGTCACTAGAGTATTACAAAAAAGATATTTAATATTCTGCACAATGCTGAACCTTGTCAGCAATTCCCCTGTGTGTGTTTTTTCTTTTAAGAAAAATAAAGGATACCAGCTGATCTAGAATTGCTAGGAAGACTTGGAGCTTGTAGCATGCAGACTTTTCTTTTATCAAGGAAATGTGTTTGCCAGTCCATTGTGGCTTTAATGATGTATTAGGTCCCAAACTAATAGCCTCTTGAACGTTAACACTTTTAAAGTTGCAGTTGGTTGTTGCCTAAAAGGCATATGTTTTTTTAAAAATCACCTGATGTTTCTTGTAGTGGTGAAGTTTCTTGTAGCAGCGGTATTATGTGAAGGCCTCCTCCATCATGTGTTTTAATATCTTCATTCTGGCACAAGATTTAAGAAACGAAAACAATAGCTAATATAGCTTGGCACATAAATATTTTTATTTCAGAACCCTTTTTTCCTTTTCAATAGCATGAATAATCATTAGCTGTTGAAAGAAAGGAGAAAGGGTTATTGAAACTGTTAGTTCAGACCTGGAGCAGGTGGTTGTCTCCAAGGTTTTATTTATAGTCCTTGTGTTGTTGGACCCTCAGGAACATCCATTCTATTCATAATTGCCTTCTACTTGATTAGATATTGTTGTTGAGTGTGAAGGAATAAGTTTCTGGGGAGAAAATGCAACCTGCTGTAAGCCTGGATGTACTCTTTTTCTTCTCAGCACACGGGGAGTTAAATAGTGAACCAGATTATACAGTGCACCACAGATAGCATATTAACAATAATTCATGCACATGTCTGCTTAGATATAAATCTCACTGAGTTCAGTGAAGGTTATTTCCAGGTACGTAGATACCATTGTTGATGGCTACTCTTTCTGCACCCATCCACCCTCTGTGTTGTGGCATGGATCCTACCTGTCGAGCATCACATGCCAAGATGTCATTTGAGATAACGAGGGAGGGGGGAGAGGAGTAATCCTACCTCCCCTTCCCCTCCCTTCCCTGAGAGGTAGGTTCTGTGCCACTGCCAGAGCTCGCTGAGACATGAAGAATGGGAGGGATGGTAACTGCCATTCCCAACATCAAGAGATGGTCTAAACTTTGAGCTGGAACTTAGACGATCCCTTTACTTATATTAAAGTGGAGCAAGTCTGGATCAGCTCTGTTTGGCAACTACCAAGTGGATCCAAGGCCCATCTGACCTAAATGGTTTTTTGACATTTATCTTAAGTTTTTGGTAGGTTTATACGCCTGCAGGCATTGGTCTTGAGTTTTACAGGTTAAATCAAAACTCTGAATCACACTTGAATCCTGTTGATTTCAGATGCTTTAAGTTATACAAACATTTTTAGTGGCATTGGTAGTGGGAGAATGTTAAAGGAACACTTGAGAAACACTATAGGTAGTTTAACTGGGATATACCTATACCCAAGGGCCCTTCCACACAGCCATATAACCCAGAATATCAAGGCAGATAATCCACAATATCTAAGGAGCTCCCGGTGACATAGTGAGTTAAACCCTTGTGTCGGCAGGACTGAAAACCAACAGGTCAGAGGTTCGAATCTGGGGAGAGCGCAGATGAGCTTCCTCTGTCAGCTCCAGCTCCCCATGCAGGGACATGAGAGAAGCTCCCACAAGGATGGTAAAACATCAAAACATCTGGGTATTCCCTGGGCAACATCCTTGCAGAGGGCCAAGATAACCCAGTGCAAAGCAGATATTGTGTGATTTTCTGCCTTGATATTCTGGGGTATATAGCTGTGTGGAAGGGCCCTAGTGTAAGTTTTAAAATACTCTAGTGAGAGGTAAATCAGGAATTTTGATGCGGTACTATGTAGTATCTTCTGTCAGCCTAGCAGTTTGAAAACATGCAAATGTGAATACATCAATAGGTACTGCTTCGGTGGGAAGAATACGGCGCTCCATGCAGTCATGCCAGCCACATGATCTTGGAGGCAAAAAAATGCTGGCTCTTCAACTTAGAAATGGAGATGAGCACAATCAGAGGGGAAACGTTTACTATGCAGTTTAACTATACTGTCTTCTCTTTCAGATGGTTCCATTTAGAATCCAAACAAGGAAAAAGAACTAAAGATAGAGGAGAGATCAAAGTAAATATCCAATTTATGAGGAATAATATGACCGCAAGTATGTTCGACCTCTCAATGAAAGACAAGACTAAATCTCCTTTTGCCAAACTGAAGGACAAAATGAAGGGTCGCAAGACTGAAGGGGCATTTTTGGATACATCTTCTGCTATCATTCCAAGTACACATATGCCAGAATCTAGCACTGTAACTTCCCTCAGTGAAATACAGTTAAAATCAAAACCAAAAAAGCCTTTTCTTTTGGGACCTCAACGACTGTCTTCAGCTCATTCAATGTCTGATTTAACCGGTCCTCAGGTGACTTCAGAAAAAATTAAGTCAGGCACAGTTGGCAACACATACCTCTTCAGGCGTCAGCTGGATTCAGTTGGTTCTGTGGATGAGACTGGTAAGTAGAGATGCCTTTTGGAAGCAATGTAAACTATTGGAGTTTGCTTTAAGAAACTTAGTCCAGTTTCTGCTGGTGGCTCCAGATCTGAAATCTTTGCATCCTTATTCTTTAATGAAATGTATGGTTATAAAACTGTGAGAATATATTTACATTGTTAGAGTTCAAGCGAGGCTACTGATTTATCTTCAATTTGTTGAAGATAATCCATGGCTAAAGTTTGGAATGTTAGGTTTGAACATGAATCCAATAATATTAAATTTTAGAAAGGGAGCAATTTTTTACCATCAACATTAATAATGTGTCTGTTGTCCTAGAACAGTGGTTCCCAACTGGTTTTTGACAAGGGACCACTCTCCAACATTAGTACCAAAAGGGTTGCGAATCAGTTTTTGGTCAACTTTAGATTCGATTTGGTTATTTGGGGTGCTGATTCAGAAAATTGCATTGGATAGACCACATCAGCTCTAGTTTTTGATACAGAACATGCCATCCACTAGTCGCCATCTGCTTGCCCACAGAAAACCATATGTAATAATCAAGAGCCGTGGATCTTATTTTAGGTCTTACAGCCCACTAGTAAGCTGTAGCCCACAGGTTGAGAGCCACTGTCCTAGAATAGTGGGAGTCCCAATACATTTGGGAACTGCTAGGTTGGGAAATACATGGATTCAATTTTTCAAACTCATTAATTCAGATTTTCATTCTATACATTTTTCTTTCTTTTTTTTCACCCCAGTCAACACTTACACATCACTTACACATCATTCACTCTTCAAATGCCTTGTATGTTAAAGGCTAGTAAAAAGTGGTTTAGGATGCCAGTTCTCTGTAAGTTAACAATAAGTGGATAGTCAGTGAATCAAGAGTTCAGGATTTCTAATCAGACCTGGCGTAGAACATTTTCTGTTTAATTGAATTACTGCATCCTTTTTGCCTCCCCACTTTCAGTAAAGAAGCGATCTGTAAGGATTAATTCGCAAAACATGGCGTAACCAAAATGGTATTTTTAAATAAAGACTAAAATTGTCCAGTTGTTATTCCTGGAAGTCCCCAGGGATAACAGACCTTATTTCACTTCCAGTTGTGAATGTTGGCTTATTTATGCAGGCTGAGCATCCTTTATTTAGAGTTCCAAAATCCAAATTCATCCACCTGGTTGGCTAAGATAGTGACACCTCTGATGGTTTAATGTACACAAACCTGGTTCCATACACAAAATTATTTAAAATATTGTTCAAAATTACTTTCAGATTATGCATATAAGATGTATATGAAAGGTACATAAATTTTGTTTTTAAACTTGTGTCCCATCTCTAAGATAGCTAATTAAATACATATACAGGCAGTCTTCAAGTTATGAACAAGATAGGTTCTGTAGGTTTGTTCCATCTATCTGTCTATCAGCTTTAGATAGCATTGGAAAGGTTTACACTCCTGTGGTGTTTGTTTTGCTGTTTGTGACCCTGTTCAGAAGATTTAATTTCCCTTTCTGTCCTTGTGATCAGTGGATTTAGAAAAAATTGGTAAGTTGTGGAAACATGGATTGGTGATAAAGCTTCTGTTAAAACACCTTTTCCTCATGATAACTCTTTCAGGAGTGAATTTCCCTTCCTAGGGGTAGATTTCTTTCAGTTCCTGTTGTCTACCCCTGTTATTAATTATGAGGTGTTTGTAAGTCAGATGCTTGTAACTTGGGGATTACCTATGTACAAATATGTGAACTTCCAAAAAATCTGAAATCTAAAACACTTCTGGTACCAAACATTTTAGATAAGGGATACTCAATCCGTAACTGAAACCATTCCGGTATCATGGTTTCAGGGTATTGAGAAGTGTCAGAATTAAAGTACTCTTTGATGGTGTATCTCAAAATGATTTGAGCCTGTCTCTCTTGAACTTGACCTCCATCTCAGGGAAGGATATTGTGGTAATAGTGCCATATATGTATGCATACTTCTTGGAAGAATTATGGTATATAAATGATATCAAGGATACCATGCATTGTCTGGACTACTTAGTACTATCTTAACTATCTTTACTAAGTAGATACTAAGCTGAAGCTGTATCTACTTATGTCTGTACCTATTTCTGTCAGAATTTCATTTCTGACATCATACAAGAGGCTATTTCATTCAGGACATGTATACATATATATATGTACACACACACACACACACACACACGTATATATATATATAGAGAGAGAGAGAGAGCACAGACTGGTGTGTGTGTGTGCAATACACATACACACATAATGCATAGACTGATATATCAGTGGAAATCTTAAACATGTTCTCTCACCCTTTCCTTTGAATCAGAAAGAGTTTAAAGGGCCTTTTCATTTAAAGAGAATTGAAGATGTTTAGCTTTAGTCATGTTTTTAAAATAATTTAACAACTCTTTGAATAATTTTCATCTGAAAATGATACATAGGGGCTTTTTCTTCTTATATTACCAAATCTGATCATGTGTCGTTGATTGTATACTGATAATCAAAATTGTTTGCAGGAAATCTGAAATCTCCACACAGACGGACATTAAGTGCAGATACAAGTAAAGTGAATCAGCTTGACAGCACAATTGATGATAGTGACTCAGCCTTTGGAGCACAAAATGACCCTTTTACAAATGTGAGTGCTTCGTTGCCTCAAAAGTTTGCCACATTGCCAAGGCAGAAGAATCCATTTGAAGAAACCCCTGTATCATGGGACCAAAACATAGGTCTCTTTTCAAAACCTATTGAAATAAAAAAAGACATTAAAAGGGAGAAAAAGGAGAAGGTTAGTCTTTTTGAAAGAGTGACTGGAAAAAAAGATAGTAAGCGGTCAGATAGACTTAGCAACGGAGGATCAGATGGCTCCACTGATTTGAAATCACCCAGCGCTTTGGGAGAAAATCTTCAGGACAGTTTTGATTATGAGTCATCTAATCCCTTTATGACAACTTTCAAGCCAGTCAGTATGCTGTCGTCTTCTAGGTAAGTTCTGAATTTAGACACAGTGTCTCATAGTCAGTTTAAATTTATTTATTCTGCTTTATTTTATTAGGTCTATAATTTGTAGAATTCTTTAAAAAATATTGTAAAAGTATTGCTTAACCTCAGATGAATATTACAGTTCTGTAAAGGACCTGCCTTGGATGTTGTGCAGGATGTTCTGTTGCCTCTTTCTTCCAGTGACAAACGTATTTTTGCTTCTGTCATATAGAGACCAGTTCTACCCTTAAGAAAAGAGTTTTGTAAACAGCAAAGGAAGAGAACCCAAATAGTTCCTCCACACACACACTTCCTTTGAAATCACAAGGACAAGCCCTGCTCTTTCTGATCCTGTTGTCATAACATTTGAAATTATCCATGCAGTCTAGGGCATTTTGCAGTTTAGTATTTACTCATAGAAACCTACAGCTCATTTCTAATTATTGTATATACTCGAGTATAAGCCAAGTTTTTCACCCCTTTTTTAAGACTGAGAAAGTCCCCCTCGGCTTATACTCGAGTGAGGGTCCTGGTCGACTTATATACGGGTCAGCTTATATTTGGGTCGGCTTATACTCATGTATATAATCAGAGTCAGTCAGTCTTAAATTACAGTTTTAATATTCAAAATATTAAATATTCAAAAACATTTAACCTACTGATGCCTCAATTCATGTAATTTTATTGGTATCTATTTTTATTTTTGAAATTTACCTGTAGCTGCTGCATTTCCCACCCTCATTTTATACTTGGGTCAATATGCTTTCCCAGTTTTTTTTGTGGTAAAATTAGGTGCCTCAGATTATATTTGGGTTAGCTTTGGTATATTTTTAAAGATTTACACAAACCCACATATGAAGACTTTTTGAAATTTGCTTACTGTGTTGCTTATTTTTAAAATTCTACTTTTACCTTTACGTTGTGTTTTTAAGAAAAAAAAGGTCACTTAGAGCATATCTCTATTGACAGTGTGGTTTGGACAGTACAGTGTTTGTATAATACATGCTGTGAGCACATGGATGCTTTAAAGGCCACATAACCAAAGTTGGGGAATGTTCTGAAATGGAGTATACTTTAGTACAAATAACATCACATGATGCTCTGGTGCTCTGCACATGCACATTGCAGTATTTTCCACTAGTCAGCTTATGGATACTGTGAATCCCAGAACTGGCTGGAGACGAGCCTTTCTACTACATACATGCACCGTCCAGGCAGCTAAGAAAATTAATCAACCTTATAACTGTTCATATATCTTATATCTTAGCATCAACTGCAATCTTCTGCACTCTGTGCCAAGTACTTCTAAAAAGACAGGAATTAAAACAGATACTAAGTTAACAGCCTATTTTAAGAAATAAATAGTACGTAGTCAATAAGCAATGAAAGTACTGCTTCTGAGTTTTAGAATTCACTCTTGTATGTGTCCACAATACATATAAGATTGTTCTTTCCTTTTGTGCCCTGTACATACAAATGTTCATATTGTGTGTTCCTTGGCATTTTGAGTAAGTGAAACTCCATCATAAAAATAGTAAATATTTCATAAAAGTATATTTCTGTTTCCTTAATTTTTTATTTTTCCATTTTCAAAAACTCACGTTTCCCCTCCCCAGATCTTCCCATCTCTGACCCCACCCATAGCATGAATAAGTGCACAAATGCTTGAAGGGCTTTGTAAATGTTTGCTATTTTGCTCCCTAGCCCATTCATCCACACCTAGAACCGACACAAGGTACTACAGAAGTCAAACCAAAACTTGATTTTGTTGATAAGTCCCCACCCAAAAATGTGCAAAGTACTAGATGGCCTCTGAGCATTAGAAAAGTTCCTATCATGTTCTGAGTAACCATAAGCAATCTTCTAAAGCCCTGAGACTCTATTGAAAATTAGTCTTCAAGCAGCTGCAGGCTTTGCAAATGCAAATACTTCATTAGTATTCAGTTCACACCTTTCTCTCTGATTCAGCCTCAGGGCAAGAAAAAGGTAAATAAAGACAGGCCATGTTATCAGAGCATGGCTAATCCACTGACCGAGCTTCTGTCTTAATTTATTGGGTCTTGATTGGGCACAAAAAGGATTCAAAGAGTAGAGCTCTTTGCGGAACGCAGATCGCATAAAACAATTTTGTTCTGAAAGAACTTTCAAAGATGTGGATTAGGATGAAAAGATACAACGTAACCCTGTTTCCATTAAAGGATAATTGTTCTAACAAAGAATCTGGTCATGGTGGTCAGTAGAAATTGCCCTGAGTTGATTCATGGAAATTACCCCAGGATGATTATGATGGAAATCCGTGGCTTGATCTTGGGCAAGGCACACTCTCTCAGCTGCAGAGGGAAGCCGGCAAAACTCACTCAGAACAATTTTTTCCACAACAAAGAAATCAACTCTTGATGTATTTATTTATTCATATACTGCTGGGGAATCATGTGACAGATCAGGGGCTTTGAGGTCTTCCCTAGCCAGCTATAACAATACCTAATTGCAGTGGTGCTCAAGCCCTCTGTTCACAACAAACCTATATTACACCCCAGTAACACCATACATTCTGGTAGTAGAGATATGCTATGTCTTTTTATTCTAATATGTTGAAAGTAGTTGTCTTATATACTCTTTGAATCATTCCAAAACTCTTAATTGTATTCATCCATTGCAGTGACTCTGAAGGAGTTAATCTGTCCATCTCTGCCATGGCACTACTGTACACTAAACATACTTAAGGCCAAGCACAACGTCAAATATAAAAGTATTCCATAAAATAACTAGTTGTACTTTCTGAATTTCTAGTAAAAAATGTTTGTTTTTTTAAGCTATAGTGCAGCCAGCTAATACACTGATGTGAAAATTTCTCAATTTACAGCTCTTGACAGGTGCTAAAAGAAAAACATCTTTTAATTTTAATGTGTTGTTAGGCCCTCTTTAGGGGGATTGTGCTAGTTATTAACAAGGTCCTCTGAGACAGGAGACGGGTAATTAACAAGACCTACAGAAAGAGAGTTTGGGTAATTAACAAGCTCTTAGGCACTGGACACAGGGTAACAAATAGTCCAGTAGTTAAAGGCGACAGGTTGTTATTAGCATGATCAAATGCCAGATTTGAGAATTTGAATAGATAGGTGTCTCAGCGAGGTGTCTAATTAGAATGTGTGTGTGTGTGTCTGTGTACACTTCCTTCAGGTTCCATTTTTGTAATGTAGCACTCATGGTGATCGCAACACCCCTCCCTTTTGAGATCCCTTGCAAGACTAACATTGTGTTTCAAAATTAGCAATAAATGTCCTAAGTTTGTAAAGATTACTAGGCAGAAAAGTTATGCTATATGCCTGCATTTACAGGAAAGAACTGTATAGATGGAAGAAACCTTAATGCTCTAGCACTTGTTAGTTTGCTGCTGTGCTTGAGAAGGCAGCATCGGGTTTTCCTGTTGGGAGGAAAGAAGCCCATTGTTGCAATAAGACAGACAGAGCACTATACTTTCCTATACTTCTCCTACAGTGGTCTTCCCTATCCCAAGAAGACCACTGTAGGAGAAGTATAGGGAAGACGACATATCTCATCACCATAAGATGAGTAACTGAATATTAGCTGACAAAAATGTAATAAATGGATGTGAGTTAAATAAAAGCCTGCTAATGCTTTAGTGTAGATTTGGCGTGCAGAAAATGCTTTGTGCAATGGGTTAAACCCTTGTGCTGGCAGGACTGAAGACCGACAGGTCGGAGGTTCGAATCAAGGGAGAGCTCAGATGAGTTTCCTCTGTCAGCTCTGGCTCCCCATGCAGGGACATGAGAGAACCCTCCCACAAGGATGGTAAAGCATCAATACATCCAGCTGTCCCCTAATCAACATCCTTGCAGTTGACCAATTCTCTCACACCAGAAGCAACTTGCAGTTTCTCAAGTTGCTCCTGACATGAAAAACAAACAAACAAAAAACCCCATAGATTTCCCAGCTTTATTAGCATGGCAGAGTTCATCCACTAAAGGGAACTACAGAGGTTGCACTATCATACTACATAGTCCTGTACAACTTCGCTATACATTGCAGTAGTGCTTTCTATATATTTCTATACGCTATACATTGCAGTAGTGCTTTCTGTACCCAGGAGTACAACCTTAACAGTGGTGCTATCTTTGTGTGGGAAGCCAGGCACAAAATGTTGGCCCAGTTTTGGAGGCTAGAGCCAGTATATTGCCTTCCCCTTATTTTCAGTGCACTCTCAGGTAATATCTGAAAACAAGAGCAAGAGCTAGTGCTATTAAAATTCAGGAAGTCGAGTGTACGTATATATATTTCAAATATCTAGTCATCAGCTTGTACCTGTAACTGAGGTGCTGATTGTGGAGCAGAATACATCACAACGTTTAAAGAGATTTTATCTGCACAGTCTTCAGACTGACCTTACAAAAAAGATGGCAATCAGGCTTGACATACTTCTCTTCATCTTTCCACAACACATAAAATGAGAACACTAAATGTTCCCAGTGTTTTGTTTATAGCCTTATCATTTTCTTGCAGTATCAATCAGATTTTAGACTCTTTCATAACTCAATTAGAAAAATATGATTAGCAAAATCTTCTACTGTCTCTTCACCACAAGATTGTCCATTGAAATATCACCTACATCATGTAGACTGTTGTGTTCCTATAGTGTTGTCTCACTACATTTGTCATATCACTTTCCCTTGAGAATGTCTTGTCGCTTCTTTACTGATGTTGTAATGTAGCTAACATAACTGCAGTGGGACAGAAAGAGTAAAGTTACTAGTTTTCTTTACACTCTGTAATTAACTCTGTTAGTATTTTGTATAAAAGCCTGTATACCATTGCCTCTATACTTTCTAACCAGGGATTCACCTCCAGCAACTGGTGAGATCAGAAACTAACCTAAAACTTTACACTGAAATTTGGCAAGCTTTCCCCCAACAGAAGGGACAGATCTGCCTGCAAATTTCAGCTAGTCAGCAAAAATGAATAGACACTTTCCTTGAAAAATTGAA